GCAAAATTTTTTTCAGTATAATTTGAATCAGCTCCTAACATAAGTAAATGTAATGTTTTTTTATAATCTGTTGTTTCAACATTTTCATATAGCATTTTATTAAGTTGATCTTTTGTATAAATTTGTTGATTTGATTGATATGGTCGAAGATAAATTTTTTCAATATATTTTTTTCTAATATATTGTTTGCGTTCGAATTCTGTTGAATTTATATTTGGTTTTGAATTTTTTGAAGAATTATTTTCTAATAAACTATTAGCAAATTGATTACCATAATCATGAAGTAGATCAATTAAATCTGAATCACATGTATTAGTCATCAATGACTGAAGACGAAGACAATTTGAGGTTAAACGATGATGAATAGCTATTATTAATATAAAAATATAAAAAGAAAGAAAATCAATTGAAAATTAACATACCAGCACATTTTTTACATATCATCAAAAGCCATGACATAATTGCAATAGTTGGATGTTCAGAATTACAATCAGCACATCGACAATTACTAGAATTTTCTCGTACTCTATCGAGATAAACTGTTGTTTGATCTTAATTGACAAAAAAAAAACTCTCTGAGTACTATTTACTAACATAATTAAATAACTGATGTTTGTTGGTTTTTTTTTTATAAGTTCTTTTTAAAATTACTAAAAAAATTAGTTTGTTCCTTTACTTGGTACAATTGAATCATCATCACTATATATTGATGCATTGGAAAAATTCTCAATCAAACTTGAAACTCTGTTTGGTTTTATATTCATTGGTTCTGATGGGGAACTAAAGAAAACAAAAAAAAAAAAAGACATGAACCACTCTTATTTTCTGCTTTAAATCTATCGTTGATAAATCTTGTAATTTATCTTCAAACATTTACTTCTTATTTAATTCATTGTTGATTAATGATTGACTTGTTTGTTGATTAATTTTTGAAACCAATAAATCCTTTTCTTCATGTTGCTTAAACGAAAAAAAAAGAAAGAAAATAAAATAATTTATTGAAATTCTTTAGTTAAATTAACAAGAAAAAATCTCCAGTCAATTCATAATCATTTTATTTTTGTTTTCACATAAAATATTAAGCATCTATTAAAGAAAAAAAAAAAAAGTAAAAGAGCATTACTTTTCTCTTTCTTTCGTGTCTATGATGTAAAAATGACGTGCAAACATACACATTTTTTTTTACCTAGTGAAAAGAAACAAAATCATTGAGAAATTATTTACCGATAATAATGTCTGGTCTGAAGGTGAATAAAAATTTGAATCATCATCAAATATAGAAGAAGTAACATAGAATAGATTTTTATCAGTTAGATTTAATGAATTTGAATAAATATTATTACTAGTATTATTATTTTGTTGTGTTAAACATGCTAAAATATTGTGTCTATTTGATGAATAAGGCTTTTTTTGACGAAATACAACATTAGAATCATCATTTTTTGCATTGTTCGATGAAAATTGTTTACTTGAAACATGATTTGGATTTTCAATAACATGAGAATCTAATTAAAAAATTCGAATATATAATTATGAAGAATAAACAATTACTGTAAGATCTATTTACTGATAATATTCTATTAGAAGTTATAGCTTGTTAATAGATTCATCGCATGATAGTTTTACTCATTAAAAATTAAATCTCATTCAAATTCAATTACAAGTCTCAATATGAAAATCAGTCGATATAGATTATAATTCAATAAAGCGTAATGATAGCGAACTCATTAATTGTCAAACAAAAATATGCCAATGACTGTATAATAGAAAATATCTACGGAGACTTTTTTGAAAAGAGATAAATGGTTTCGGAATAGGAACGGGCACTATAATTAACAGGCTATTGTCGGCTTGTTAAAATTGTTAAACCATTTGTCCCTCTATTTCTTGTAAGAGAGGTCACACGAAGACGTCATCTGTCAGATAGCATGCCAACTACGTTATGATATACATCTACTTTTGTGATGAGTCAGACTGGTCTTCTGTTCAGAGCTACAACTAGGCATAGTTGTAAAGGAAATATCAAGTTAAGTGAACTACTTTTGAGCACTACCCTATCACGTAAGATAGCCGAAATGCAGGGCGTTCTTCCTTGCTAAGAAATCAATCTCTTCAGTCGAAGATTTCGAATACTAGTACGTATTTAATATGGATTTTCAACCTGCATACTTTTCTTCCTAATCCCTTTGCTTTATTATATTAAAATCAAACATAGAATTCAATAACACACATAAGTACGAACCTGAAAGTTAATACTACGAAGTGTTGATTTAAAATTTTCTTTCGTCAATAAAAATCAAAGATAAAACGTAGCTCTCAATGTCTGTACAAATATTTTATTTTTGTTGTAAAAATTATATGTATATGTATATATAAATTTACCCTCAAGTGGTACAGCATCATCAAGACCGATCGTCAAAGGTGTTTTATTTGTTGGTTTACTTTTTGTTCTAGCAATAGGTGTTGGCCGATTTTTTAAAATAGAATTTGATAGAGGAGATTCACTAGGTAAATCTAGAGAATTATCCATCTAGAATAAAACAAAATTCACGTCAAACAAGGAAATAGAAAGCACCGTTGTGTATCGGTTAGAAAAAGAAAAAAAAATATCACAAAAAAGAAAATAAACACACAAAAACCAAATGTTAATTAGTTGTTGTAGACTGATTGTTATATGAAAGAAATTGTTGACGAATACGTTGTGCATCTAATGAATTAGGATTCATTATACATTCAAGATCTTGCCAACGTTCATTATCACGTGTTTGTCGATAATAATTATATGATTGAAGATGTTTCTTTTTATGATATTCACTTTCTTTTTTTTCAAATTTCATTGTTACTAAACTTCCAATAGGTTCTGGTTTATTTTCTTCACTTTCACTACCTGATTGTTCACCATCACTTGTATTCATTTGATCATCATCAATTAAACTTATGTCTTTGTTTAAAGTTGAGCTAGTTGTTGATGATAATGTTGTATCAAGATAATTGAATTGCGGTCGAAATTGAACAACAGATCTCAATGGACAGAGAATTAAATGACGAGTTACTCTATCGAATAAACCAACGAAATAACGATCACCTAAAAAAATTCATATCTATTGTATTTAAGATTATAACCTTGCGAAATAGAAACTAGAGATACTGCTTCGTTTTCGTAATTTCTGGAGAATGATTCATCAGAATAATTTAAAATTTTCAAAACAACTAAAATTTGATATGTAGAGCGAAAATTCTCGGATGCTATGCTAGATGAAGCTGAAATTGTTTTTGTCCTTTGAATAAATATCGAATATACTCTAAAAAACACATGTTTTTTTTTTGTTGAATAGAGTTCCTAAAAATCAGCAGAACAATAGTTTTTGAAATCAAAAGAAAACATATGCATTTCCAAAAGTGTATAGTTTTTACCATTGTCATTACGTAAATTAAACAAAAATTTTCGGTTACGAAATGGAGGAAACCCTAATAAAAAAAAATTTTTGACTACATGGAGATTCCTTAAGCTTTATTTAAATATTTGTTAAAGAGACTTCTTCTTGATCACAATCTACCGTTGTATATCATACATCAACACTTTCTATCGAAACCGAGCTAGTCAATGAAACAATTCTTCAAGTTAAGTCTGAACTGACTTAGCATAGTTTATTGTGAATGTTTCAAATTTTGTTATTGATTTTCAGGATACGTGCAAATTCAAATATCTGAAGCTTTCTGATCGAAATTTGAAAATCAGTTTTTCGGTTATCCAGAGACTCGCATTTAAAAGAAATGATAAAAGTGCAGTCTCTCTGTATTAAAAAACTTAGGACACGAACTCTTTTCAGAGTATTCAAAGCTAATTTAGATCTATATAATACTGATAGTTTCGACTTGATGTTCAACGATTCTGTATTTTAATTGAAGTAGTTTGAAAAAGAGTCGTTCTGTATACACTCTCTTTCTGAAAATTCTAAACTATAATCAAAAACTTTTATCTAATATTTGAATTAATAGAATCGTACTTTTAATTGACATACCATTCAATTTGATCGTGTAAAAGTTATTTAAAAAAAAAACAGAAACTATTAAAATTGTTCTAAAAGTCATTGAATTTGCAACATACATGATTTTCATTCGATTGCATCAGGCAATAGACGATGTTTACTTAAGAGAAATATCATCATATGAATTAACTTGAAAAGTTACGAAAAGTTTGTATTTTTTTTTTCGAAGAGAAATAAATGTACGGAACAATAAGGTTTTTATCTACGCATACCATCTAACAAAGTAATAGACACAATTGATGTACATAGAAAGAGATAACGAACTAATCTCAACAAATACAACCGGTCATAAGCTATGTTATTTCTATGATTTCAATCGTTGTCTCGACTGTAATCAATAGACTTAATTTTAGAAACATTTTTTAAATAAAAAAAAAAAGTTTTCTACTACCATCAGATGAATTCGATGATGCAATCGTTTGTTTATCCATATGATCACTATTAAAAAATTGATTTTTATTCTCATGATTTGTACTATCAGCAAATTGTTTTCCTTTTGATGAATAATAATTTGGTGATTGTGTATCTATAAGTAAATCCATTTCTACTAGTGAATATTTTTCTTTAATTCTTGCATTTGTGAATGATGTTTCATCATATTTTCTATAATATGGTCGAATTGGATATTGAAATAAATATATGGATGGTTTTGTTCGATGAAGTTCAACGTCGATTTCATATAAAATTTCATCATTTTCATCGACATCCATTGATGAATGACCATTTGTCATAATGACGAACTATTTGAAAATAATAATAATAAAAAAGAAAAATAAAACAGAACACTTCTTTTTTATCGGTCGAAAAAACGAACGAGGATACAATGTGAGTCATTGGAGATATGATCAATGTGGCGACACATAGGTAAATTTTTTATTTGTTAGAAGACTTTAACCATTAAGAAAATTTCTTATTAAACATATGATTTAGTTTCAGTTTATTTTAGATAAGATGTTAGAAGGGTTGCCTAATGAATATGATATCATTGTTGTTGGAACAGGTATTTTACTTAAATTATATTTTATAATTTTTATAAAAGATTTTGTTTTTTTTATATAGGAATAGTCGAAAGTGTTCTTGCAGCTGCTTGTGCTCGTATTGGAAAAACTGTACTTCATATTGACACGTAAGATATGATGAAGAAAAAATAAATACAATTGATCTATTTTATATAGAAATGAATATTATGGTTCTGAATGGGCATCATTTTCATTGAATGGTTTAATTGAATGGACTCAAATACAGGAAAATCCTGTGGTATATTGATAAATAACTAAAAAACCAAAGTCAATATCTGTATATTTTTTTTTTGTTTTTGTTTTTCTAGACAACTATTAGTCCACAAGATGATAATGAAAGAATTATGCCAATTAGTAATCCATTAAAGGTTTTTCGTAATATACAACTTAAATGGAATATTGAGTAAGAATAAAGATGCATACATAAAAAAAAAAGAAAAACTCTATTTTGTCATTGTTTGTAAAGAAAAACTAATGAACAATCATTAACCGATGAAAATGATACTTCAAAAATGACATTAGATGTATTGGAAAAACAATCAAGAAAATTTAATATTGATTTGACACCGAAAGTGAGTACGAATAAAGATTTCTATTGTAATTTTCAACCTTTTGTGTAATATGCTCATTGAACGAGTTACACTTTAGTTCTACTTAAAATTTCTATGAACAGAACAGAGAAACAAAGTTCTTACTGTATGATTTCATTTTTATAATAAATGTTTTCTTGGACTGATACCGGAACTGAAGACGACTTGTCTCGAGCATGACTAAACTTGATGCTCGATAATTTAGACAATACCTTGAAGTATCGTTTTTTTTTTTGCTCCTGAACTTAATTCTTAACAGATACTATTCACTACTGAAAATTAATGTAAAGAATTATGCATTAGTAAATAAAGTGAAGGTTCAAATAAAAAAGAAATCATTAAAGAACACACACATGATCATCTAATTGAACTATTTCTCTTAATTATACACGTACGAAAATTATATTTAGCTTTATTATGCAACTGGTGGTCTTATTGATCTTCTTGTTCAATCAAATGTGGGTAAATATTGTGAATTCAAACTTGTTTCTCGTCTTTTACTTGAACGTAATGGACAACTTGATAATGTAATTCAAAGAAAAATATTTCAATTTCAAACGAAGCCTTATGTTTATCTATCTAGGTACCAAGTTCACGAGCAGATATATTTAATTCAAATGATATTAGTCTTATTGATAAACGTTTATTAATGAAAGTTATACTAAATTGTTCAGCGATGACAATCGAAGATTTAAATGAAGGTAGACTTAATATATACCATATTCCATAATAAATTTTATCAATTAATTCTAGATGAAAACATTCCATTTATTGAATATTTAAAAAAACAAAAATTAAATGATACACTTTGTCATTTAATTCTTAATTCAATATCTATGGTTGATTATAATGCAACAACAAAAGAAGTATCTTTGTGTTTTTATTTATTTTTTCTGTATAATTATGATGTTTTGAATTTAGGGTGTAATTAAAGCAAAACGATATTTAGATTCCATAGGACGTTATGGTAATTCACCATTTCTTTATCCGCTCTATGGAAATGGTGAAATGAGTCAATGTTTTTGTCGTTTATGTGCTGTTTTTGGTGGTACTTATTTTCTACGTTTTCCATTAGCTGGTTTTACAATTGATTCATCAACTAATCAATGTTCTGGTGTTGTAGCAACAACAGGAGAAAGATTTCATGCTAAAGATGCTGTTATTTGTAATAATGCATTTATGGAATCTATATCATCAAATAGAAATGTTATTCATCGCATGGTTTTATTTACAAATGAGTCAATTAAATCAAGTGAAAAAGATGAAGTAGAATGAAATTTTAAAATTTCACATTATGTCCGATTGTATATTATAGATAACATATCTTCGTCTTAGTGGACCAAATGAATTCGGCATTCATGTAATTGAAGTTGGTAGTGGATCAGGATGTACACCAGATGGATTTTGTATGTAAAAATTATACTTCGAACATAGTAAAAGTAGTGACAAATGTATTTTAATTGTATTTATGAGAACTTAGTTTCAAATTTCAACTTTTAGGAGTTGAAATGAAACGTCAAACCCAGTGAGATTTTTCTTTTGAGCCACTCGGTCTGAACTTTGTTTCTTTTTTCAAGAAAGACTTTTCATATAAGAAAACAGAAAAGACTTAGATGATTGCAAATCTTTTCTTAAAACTGAAAAATCAGATTTTCTAGAGCGATAATTCTTGTTGATATTATTATGATGTTTCATCAAAATTTCTTACATTAATAGATAAAAAGAGAACACTTCTTCATATCAATCATATCCTACATTCATACAAATGATCTAATATTACCGTCACACATCGTAACAAACAGCTTTTGTTGACATTTTATGATTATTATATGAGTTGAAGAATGACCTAATATCACAGAAATGTAGAGCATAGTTTTTACCACCAAATAATATAGAGAGTAAGCTCTTCTAAGGAATTAAATGACTTTCACCACTACTTTAGGTCTGACCGAAGTATTTTTTTTTTTTTTTGAAAATTTTAAGGATTCGTTTGTTTGGCTTTTTTAGTTCTTTTATATATTTATCAAGAAAAACCTCAGGAAGATATTAATCAAATCGTTGAACGATTGTTGAATTTAACAGGAGGTGAATGGAAAAGATTTATATTTAAAAAATTTTATCGATACTTTTTTATTTTTTAGACAACTTTAGTCGGGCTAATATTCTTGGACAATTATCTTTTGATCAAGTAGAAACACTATCGACATCAACATCATCACCAGTTTTGAAACTTTTACTTACTCATGGACCGGATGGTTCTATTGATCATGATAGTGCTGTGAATACGGTTTGCTTTCAATTTTTTTCTTTTATAAAATCTTATATTAAATTTTAGGCTCGAAATATTTTTCATCAAATATATTCAAATGGTGAAGAATTTTTAGCACGTGCACCTGATCCAGAAGATATCATTATTGAAGATGATGGTGATACAAATGACACTTCTACCATAAATACAAACACTGAAAATGAAATTTTATGAACTTTTTTTTACATTCTATTCTTTGTTTTTGTAATAATAAATTATTTCTTTACTAGTCATAAAAATAATGTCTACTTATTTCGAAATGATGAGATTAAACAACTGAAAAGTTTTCGATTGTTGACAATGTCAGTCATTCGTACTGATTACAATCAGCTCTTGGTTTTCTTGTTTTCCTATTTTTGCTTGACAAGTGTGTTTGAAGTCTTTCGAAGATTTCCATCGACTGCACGAAGCCAAAAAAATTGTTTAGAATTTATTGTAACTTTCCAAAACCCTTTTTCTCAGTGTAGAGCAAATAAAAAGACTCGGTCTTTTCCTACTAGAAAAGTCACTAATGTTTTTTAACTTCAACCGTCAGATATTGTTTGTACGATATCAATGACAGTGGAATTTTCTGTCTTTATGAACTGGAAAAATTTCAGTACTATTTCACCAGTTTACTATCAAATAACCAACAAACTTTTATTCGAGAGTATTAAGGGTGGATGTGGGTGTGGGTGGGTGTCGATGATTAATCGGATCATCTTTTCACTCACACCCATCCACACCTCAACGTGCTCTTTGTCGACTTATTCGAAAGCTCGACCAACGGTTTATACCATTTATGGTGCTACTTGAGATCAGCAGATTCGGCTTCCAAGTCGCAATAAGTTTGATTCTCATTTTTTTTCTTTAAGTCAAACTCGAAATTTGATTTCCATCATTACATCTCTTATGATACAATTCAATTATTCATTTATATAAGTGTTTAAGAAATATGGAATTTTTGAATTCGAATTTCGAGTTTCACACCAACGATTTTTTCAATGATTCTAATTGTATCCAAAAACTAACAGGTCTTGTTCAGCTTACCAATTTCAAAAGTGATCTTAATATAACCAAACAAGAGAGCAGCTGGGCAACATCATTGTTCTATCTCGGTTATGTAAGTTTCTTTTTTGGTTGTTATCTAAATCCAATAAATGCATTCATCTTACTCAACATTAATGAAAATGGTTTTTAACACATTAATCCAAATGATTCTTCTATAAATCTCAGTTCTCATAAATGTTGAGAGTCTAACAGTGTTTGGAGAAATATTTCACAAAGAAGTACTGCAGTGTACACAATTATAGACTCATGAATTGTTCAGAGGCTCGTGCAGTCATTGAAATTCGTCCAGACATTTTTTTTTAGAGAAAATGATTCTCTATTTAAAACATGCTCATATTTATTATCTGATTGGAGTTATGCGAAACAAGATCTTTACATATAATCATTGCCTTTTCTGTATCCTAAATTATAAACTCCTCAGAAGTTTCCATCGAAAGAAAATCTTACATTTCATCAATACTTACTTATTTTTTTCTCTTGAATTACGTGACAACGTTTCTTTCGATGTGACATCTTGTCAAATTATTTTAGGCAAGCTTCTAACCTAAAATCTATTTGTATTTGCTTGATTCTATCTGTAAGCTGTGAAAGATACTATGTGTGCATGGTTGTTGGGGGTATTAATAAATTTGATGTCATAAAGTTTCGAGTGGAATAAGATCCGAAGCTAGATTCAGATATTTCATGACCAGAAGGGTGAGGTATGCGTGTGGATTAAGAAAAGAGATATACCAACACCCATCCACACCCCACACCCCACGCTCACCCCACATCCACACCCACACCCACTCCCACCCACATCCACATGATATTTAACCTTCCCATGTCACTCCCTCGTATATTATACATTGTCCTTACCTTTCTATTCTTATGCTTCTGTCCTTATCCTATTGTTCTCCTATATCGGCTCTTTCCTTGGCCCTATCTTATTGTGACGTTTTTAGATAGAGTAGGCACAGCTCGAGAGCTGTTATCCTAATACTTTATTAGTGTAAGCAAAATCGTCCGTCTACTGTATTTTTCCCGCTCCTTCTATGCTATTTCTTAGCATAGAAGGACCTTGAAGAATACAGTAAACACAATACAGAAAAATATGGGTTTAAGGACAAATACAAAGGTTAGAACGATTATGGTTAACACTATGAAAGAACGACACGTTGAGAGTATGGTTCCAAAGTATAGGTACGAGAGATAAGCGTAGCGGATAGAAAAGATGTTGTGGTTATTCCTTTTATGGATAACACTATGTACGAGGCGAGGATACATTAAGCGTGACATTCCAAAGTACAAATAGAAGAAGAACGAACAGGAAAGGGTATTGCGGCTATCTCTATTATGCACGAGACAAGGACAAACTAGTAATAGAAGTGTACATAGGTAATAGATAGAGAAGCGCATCGCACTTGTTTCAATCGAGGAGAAGCAACAACTTACACATTATGCTCAGTTGTTACACTTATCTCTTTTCATCCTCTCTTCTTCTACTTACGTATATAAGCGTGTGCTATGTATGTAAACGATGCGATTATATGATATGAAGGAATAGAATAAAGTGTCATATCATCAGCACTAATATCGTTTCTATCAAAAATCGTCACCAATACATTTTAATTCGGCTATCTTGGTCTGCATAGACTCCTAACAGATCAAATTCTAAATTTGTTTATTTGGCAAATAAGAATTCATCGGACCTGAATATGATCGATCTCTTTAACTTACAGTATACATTCTTCCATTATCGGAAGCAGAATTAACGCTAGTAACAAAAGATGCATGTTGTAATGAGTGTATAATCATTATTTTTTTATCTAATGAAATATCACAGAAAAGTGCAATAAAGCACACAATATTAGCTCAGTATCATATCACAAGATAATCCTTGTATGCACCTAACATTTTCTCGATCGTTAAAGAAATGAGAAGTTAAATTTGGATTTTTTTCTCCTGTCATCAATATGCTTCATAAATAAGAGGTATTGCAAATTGGTAAAGGCGTTTTTTATGGCTGATACTTTTCTCTCATGAGACATTTTTTCTTTCTTACCATGCTATAGAAAGAACGACAAAAAAACAACATTGAAAATGTGTCAAGTAGAAGCATCAGTGTAAGTTTTCATACGCATTGCATCTCTACAATCAGTTTCTATAACTCCTCATGTGTCATAGCAAATTATCTACAGTATGGTATTGATTATTTTTATTCGTTTGAATTTTCTAATAATGTCTTTCGAGTATGTTTTTTGAAAGTGTGACTGTTAGTGCCTAATTACTCATAGACATATCTATACTCTCCACTATTTTTCTAAAATGTAGAAATATTGTCATAGTAGTACATCTCAATCTTAGTCAAAATAAAATTTCTATTCTAGATACAGAAACAGAACTATGGCTTGTGGAAACAATGATTTGAGCGATGCATTATCAAAACTATCAATTGCAAGTCAGCAGTCAGCAAGTAATAATGGTATAATGAATTTTGCTGAATTAGTTCCAACTTCAATAAACCTTGACGATTCATTTCGATGTCAATTGCCGTTCAAAGAATTAATTGAACAACGACTAAGTCAAAAATATTTTCACGAATTATTGTCTATGATGGAACAAAAAAAGAAAATTTATGATTTTCATATGCGTTTACGAAATCAAAATCAACACGGTTTCACCGTAGATTTTATATACAAAGATGTTGATGATCGTCCTGGTCCAGCTACAGCTGATGTATGCATGTCTTGTGATATGAACAACAAATTATCAGAGCTTAGTCTGATTAAAGAAAATTCAACTACACGCATTTGGTTAGATGCACAACTCAGAAAAAAGCTAATTGTGACACCACGACAACACATAGAAAGACTTACAGAATTGTCAGAAGAAGACTTGGAGCATTTTTGGCAGAATGCACAAGTCATATTAGATGAAGAAGGATGTGATTGGAGAAGTATGATTATAAATCATGGAAAATATCGAAATCATACTCATCTTCACATGAAAATTAATATTGACCAACAGGACTGGAATCAACGGATTAAAAAGAAGTATGCCGAAAAACTAAGGCAAATGCAAAATCTACTCGATCACGACGAACATAATGATATTCAAAAAAATTTTGGCGATCGACAATTCAATAAATGGAGCAGGATTAAAAACATTAACACAAAGCAGAAAAGATCAGCGAATCAATTCAATAGAAAAATGAACTAAAATTAGCTTCAGAAAAAAGAATGAGGATGTTTGAAAATGAAACAGTTCGACAACGACATCAGCTAGCTATCTGCAATTTTCTCTGATCGAAACAGATCATTGAATGTCTTTTTTTCTAATATTGTATATGATAAAATTTTTGTATAATGTTGTGGATTTTTTGAAAATTCTTTTGGAAATGCATGCTCCTATAAGTATGGGTGAATGACTTTCTGTCTTCGTTTCAATTAGATCGACATCCGTAAATATAAGATGGGTATCTAAAAAGGTTCCATGACCTTTTGTGTGCGCCGACACTTGGCAGCCGACATTCTCGCACGCGACATTTCCTCACAAAATATCTTTTTGTTTTGTCTGTGATAAGTTACTCGCTCTTTCGAGCTTCGTGAATAACGGTTTATGACAATTTTTCGAAAAACCAACATTATGGGGTATAGATGTATGTCTGGATATCCACCATCACGAACGCATGAACAAACCACCACACAGCCACGGACGTACTCACAGCCAGAGCCACACCCAAACCTATCATAAATCGTTATTCATGAAGTCCGAAAGAACAAGCAACTTAGCACAGACAAAACAAAAAAAATCATTTTGCGCGAAAGCGCCATGCGCGCCAATAAATAATCAGTAAATCAGAATAGTTCAAATGTGACATCACATGAAACGAAATCGATCTATTTTGTGGAAAGATACTTTATCGAAATATTTCATCGAATGAAGTTATTTCTTCGTTTCTATATTACTATTAATGATCAATTGATGTCGAATATGAAATTAGAATTCATATGTAGAAAGAAAAGAACGCGAGTTATGTTTAGACTTTCAAAAATATGAATTTCTGTATTTTTCGAACATTTCGTTGCTGCCTCACAGGGTGTGGGTGGGTGTGGGTGTGGATGTGGGTGTGAGGGTGGGTGTGAGGGTGTGGGTGTGGATGTGGGTGTGGGTGTGGGTGGGTGTGAGGTGTGGGTGGATATGTGGGTGGAGTGTGCGTGTGGGCCCGATTCTGGTTTACTTCTTCAACAACACACCCACACCCTCTATAATTTTTGTTTAGTAGAAATTCATTAGTGAAATGTTCATTATCCAATGCAGTCTATTTATCGGAATTTAAAGGATAATTATGTCGTGTTACAAAAGCAAGTAACATTGTAAAAGAATTTCTTGATATCAGAGTGTCAGTCAGTCAATTCCGTTAGAATACAAATAAAAAAAAAAAGAATTGTTTTTAATTCTATTTAATTATTATGAACTTTTAATAGATATATTGACCATTTTTAAAAATTACCCTATCATTAGAACATTTTTCTTTTATTTCAAGATCATTCAAAATTTAACTAAAATTGTTTAATCATGAGAAAATGAATTGAAATACTTCTTCTTTTTTTTGTCATATAAAAATCTAAAGGATACCATTTTTTTAATAAACATAAATTATAATACAAATCTTCTTTAGTTAATACTTTTATAAAGAAATCCGTTTCTAAAGCATGAATTTAGAATCAATACATTTGTTTGAAATAAATTCCTTTTATTAGACATTGGAGTTCTATGATAATATATAAATACATAATATCGATTTATAAAACGACATCAGTAAGTGCAACTGAGTACTTAATAATTGTTTAAGAAATTCTATCGACATGATTTCATTTGATATTCAACCTTTGCAATATCTCATTTGAATCACACACTTGGTAACCGAGTTTATTTGCAAAAATTAGAAATACATTTATTCAATATTCATACTGGCAACTTGTTCTTGCTCAACTTTACCAAACATATTGAAATTCAAAACAATTGATTCAAATTACAATAAACGATTGTTCACAACAAGAAAAAAAAAAGAATTTTGATTCATTATCAGACTATCGAAAGTGTTGTAAAGTAAGAGATAATCAAATGTCTAAAGATATACTTTTCTATAGATTTCTTCAATATTTAAATAAAAGTAAGAATAAATAATGAGAAATGCATTTTTATACCAAAAATTAAAGTGGAAGATAATAATGATGATGATTTTCTATTCAATGGTTCATTTTCCCCAATTGACAAATATCGTCGTTGATTTCGATTGACTTTTCTCCAGTTTCTCAACTATAGAGTTTCAAATTAAAAACAGAACAGAAGCTTATTCTGAAAATGAATTTTCTTAAAATTAATATCTATTGTAGATAATCATCATGGTGATGAAAATCTTGATTCTCCTATAGCAAAACATGGTCTTAATGGAGTATTTCTAAGAACTTTTATAATAACAGCAATGAAATGAGCAACAACACCCTCGGGAAGGTGTGTTTTTGAAAAACAAAGTCAATGATCATCAAATCAAAATGAAAATAACAAAACTGAAACAATAAGTAAAATAAGTGGAGATAAACATCATACAATAGTAAAACAAGATGATAAAATAATGTCAGAGTATGAGAATGCAACAATAAATGAATTAGAATGTTTTTAAAAAAACTTTTTTCTTAAATAAGTTTTTTATTCAAATGATCTACTAAAAATAAACGAAAGAAAATGTTATTCGAGTTTGTGTTTTTTTTTTATTTTGAAAGAAAAACATCTTGTTGCCTCCGTACATTTTACTCAATATATTTTATTTTTTTTACTGTGTCAAAAATGAGGATGCATGTGTTAGTTGATTAAAAGAAGACTATCACCCATACCACATCTGTTTTTGATTGTTGATGTTCTCCAACAAAATAGATGTTTCATAAAAATGACCTTGTAGTAATGCAATCATTCGTTGCTATACGACTATTCTTTAAACATAAGTGAAGCCTATGCAACAGTATTTTTTTTATGTGACACATGTACACATATTTTTTCTCCCTCGTCGTCAGTCGCAGCCACTGCCAGTCGAATTTTCTCTTTCTCAATTGTTTCTGTTCTTCAATTTGTTTTTAAGCAGCCGTGCGAGGTTGACAAAGTGAGTTTCAGCATAGAAGACTCAAAGCACTTATACGACGTGTTTCAATCATCGGTAAGGGATCATAATCAGGTATGCTTAAATATCTATTAACTACATAAAAAGTATAAATTAGTCGGACCCTTCTTAATGAATAAAGAATTACAATAGATCATGATCCAAAATTCAAGGGATTAAACGACCAGTCAATGAAACTATAGTAATTATCTAACTTGGCTGTGTGAGAATGAGTTTACAATTGAAATATTAGAAGCTCCATGCGACATAGTTCGATCTCTGCTAAAGGCTCATCATTCGAGTGAGTGTGAATAATATTTAATCATTAGAAAATGCGCATGTATTTTCGTAATTACATCAATATTTGTATTTTGTTTATCCACAAAGCAAGATTCCTTCTGCTATTCAACCATAAGTAGTAAATAAATATAAAAACACCGCAAGAATACATGACTATTATTTATTCCATTTTCTGAAAGAAATGGTCTTACACATAAAGATAAATGTGTTCTTGTCGATCCATTCAGAAATGGGATTTTTTAAAATTTTCTAGACTCAGGAGATGAAAGGGGATGGTAGTACATAACTATGGAAAGCAGCAACCAGAAGGCCGCTTCTGAGCATGGGTGATTCATCCAACCTTCTACTGGCTGAAAATGGACCAATCAGATACAGGAGTTTTTCTTTTTTCGGTGTTCGAAGCTTTCATGAAACTTTGCTAGAAGATATCAGTGGTGCAGAAGTCGATTCTGAAATCACTTTTTCCATGATGTAAAAGCTTTTTTTGTGAGAAAACCGATTTCTCAGTCACATTTGCACAAGCATTTGAATATGTTCGAATCATTATGTATGATCAGTTTTGCCAATATTGGTACTATATTTTTCGAGTAAGGAATTGGTTTGTCGAGAAAAATAGGATATTTTCTTTCATCCAAGGACGGACGATAAAAAATTAGCGGGGTGTATGTATGTGTGTCAGGCAAATTTGACTTATCTATTCATTATGAACTGTTCTTTCATGATTTGAATTATTCCTGATATTAATGATCGCTTTTGACGATCGATGATCGATGTGAGAGATGTAGAGAAAGCTACAGTGGTTGATGTGTGCGAATTGGAGTGCCGAACGATTCAATCCTCTCTTGTTGTCAGGCTGAATCTAAGAGTCATAGTTCAAAAGCACCATGAGAAAATAATTATCAGGATAATTGTCCTAAGGATGTGCATTGGTAGTTCGGAGATACAAATCGAGGAGAATTCTGGTTAAAGATACCTAAGCGGGAAGAAAATGGAGTTAATCAGTGAGTATAATGTAACAGTAGAAGTCATCGATATTATAGTCGAAAAATCGAAACAGAAATGACTTTTTATGATAGCAGTTGCTTCTAGGCCTGGCGATAAAGCACCGAACAGAAAAGATCGATGATAGAGGATAAAAACAAGACAGAAGAAAACGGAAAGAAAAACGCTGGATAATATCTTATGGCAAACATGATTTCCCAGATGCTTGGAATAACTCTGTTGGAACAAATTCTAAGAGCCATTATGCATTTGTCTATATACGACTAGAAATCTAATTAGGTAGGATAACAAACGATTCTTGCTTAGTTGTATTTGAACTGATTGTAGGTACCTAATCAGCGAATCATTTTTGCCTATAATTCTTTTGTTTTTTGCCCGTGCCATATGCGTTTCTATTTCTGCTCTGAAGTTCTCAGTCACCTATTGTCATTGGTTCATGGGTAATCAGGCTAATTGAACGTCGCGATCATGTTGAGAATGTGTACTATTGGCAAGAGTGCTTTTTATGGTGGGAGTCTAGTGAGTTGGACATTGTGAAGGTTTAGTTTTGCAGTTATAAGGATTTTTCTGATAGCACAATTCTACAGAGCGACATGCATTCCCGATGATAGTGTCCGACGATTAGGCTTCCGCCCTATGTGGTATATTTTGTGAAACGATACTTTTGGCTTAAAACTGCTCGTGGAATACCCGCTCTATTTTGAAAGTTTGAGCATTTCGGTGTGAGGGTGAGGTATATGAATGAATTTACTGCTTGACTTAGAAAAACGAGCAGTAAAATACATTCAGGCTAATGCTCTTTCACCACTGACTACATGTAATTTCTCTTGCTAGATGGAGGTTCTTCTCAATTCTAATGACAACAATATTCTCTTCGAATATAACACCTACGAAGAGTTTACCCAGGAACGACTCAAATTAAACTACGAACATACCCTCAAGTTGTGGTACTCTCGACCAGTAGATTTGTCTAATATCGACGATCGATTTGTTCAACGACGTACACATCGACAGCAGAAAGCGATCTTCCGAAAGGTCAAAATCTTCTATGTCTACAGTAAATTACTCAAGCGAACCTGTGTCAAAAAGAAGATATTTTCCAAAGGTGAGAAACTGCAAACACTCTTAGATAAGATATCAGAACTCGACAAAATATATGATTAATATTTTATTCAAAAACATTTGTTCACAGGTGCTCGTCTATGCAATAATATTTTAAATATGCCCCCAGTGCGAAATGAATCTTTTTACGAAATGTATCAATCACTCGTTCGCAGCACCCTAGACTTTCTGAATAAAGGAAAACGATATGATCCAATTATCAACTTCGACGAATTGTTCAAAGCAGGCCGCCTTCTGTGGACTATTATTGCCATTCAAGTGGAGTTTAATGTACCATTAGGGATAACCGATTCACTCTTCGGCTACAATATGCTCTATCCGTATACAGATGATTTCGTTGATTGTACTTCTATATCTCAAGAAGCGAAAAAAGAATTCGCGCGAGTACTGCACAATCGATTACGCATCGGCGAACCGGACTATGATTCGAAGTCGCATTTCAACGGAAAACAATCGAAACTGACCGAATTGCGTCTGCCAGCATCGTTACAACCATACGCAGATAAAATTGGAAAGATATTTGATATGGTGAAGTTCATCGAAAATGACTGGGTACGTCATGGTGAGCATGAATGTATATACATGAGTTTGGCTACTATTCATGACTCACAAATAAAATCGACATTACAGCATGCGCGCCCTGACGATGGATATGCACCGACAATGGCTCAGATCGAGCAGGTGAGCGCAGAAAAAGGCGGTGCATCTTTGATTGCGACCGGATTTCTGATCGAGGGTTGTTTGACACGAGCCAAAATGGCATATCTGGAATATTTGGGCTTTGGTATGCAATTAGTCGACGATCTACAGGTCAGTTCTCCGAGAAGTCCTTGATATTCCCTCTGAACTGAAAAGCTGTTGTCGCATATTGACCTCCCAATTGTTCCTCATTCGGGTTCTAATTCTGCTTCTGACTTCTTTTGATAAATATTGAGTAAGATAATGCTTTACAGGTTTTACCTTGAAATTCTTTTCTGTGATAAACGATATACTTTCGCTTCATTTTATGCATAGGACGTTGCGCTAGACATGAAGAACAATCATCGAACAATTTTTACTCAATCAATTGCCGAAGGACAAACTTTAGATGCGCCCACAGCTCGTCTTATTCAATATTGGTACTGTGCACCTGCCTATGAAAAGTTTGCAGATGATCATTTGGCACTCTCGGATGCCGAAACTGGTGTTACCCTGGCTCATTATGCTTATATTTTAATGATGAAGTCTTGCGTATTACTTATTTTGGAAGCTGCCTCTCGACTGCGACAATACTATTCGAAAGAGTTCTATCGTGAACTATCAACATTTAGCCCATTGCCTTTCAATATTCTGAGACGAGTAGGTATAGAAGACAAACTGATGGCAATTGTACGAAGCCAGTGGTTCTAACAGTTCTCCAGAATTTAAACTGTGACAAGATACGCACTTCGTATTTTCTTATTATAAAAAGTTCTCGCCGACTCTAATCTCAATAAATATCTAAACTTCAGAGAAAGCCTGTTCTGTAAGGGTGAGGGTGAGAACAGTCGCCAATCTGGGATGTGGGTGTACATGAATGCACGGTTCATACATCGACAAATTTCAGATGTGTTAAATAATGTAGACGATAGAAGTCGGAAAAAATGATTGATTAATCTTTGGATCTAAACCAACACGGTTAAATATTAAAGAATGAAGATTATCAAATTGACCTAACGTGAAGCCAATTAATAGAAAATGATTATATTGGTATGGTGCGTCCTCATCGTCGAAGAACCTTAAATATATTGTAAGGTAAGTTCGACAGAAAATATTAAAATCTTCTTTCAATATCGAACGAAAATTGACATGATAATTTCGAAAACAGATGAATAATACAGCGTCAAAGCGAGTATTGAGACCATGAAAAGTACGAAAAAAATCACCAATATTGAATA